CAGAGATGGGCAATGAACATTTCCCCTACAACCTATTTTGGCAGATCCCAGACCTTTGAGACAACCATGATCTGGATGATTTGAGAATTTCCACTGGCAACCCAGAACTCTCTCCAACCATGCAAACAGAGAACACTGTTCCACTGCGCCTCTTTGATCTGCCAGGAAAAGAAAAACCAATTCCCAGCCCCAGCATTGCCATTGCCCATTGTCTTCCATCAGGTTTCCTCTACCCCCTAATGTTAAATACTTGGTTTAACATTCCCAGATTATCCTATAATTATTTCCCCCTGTAACCCTGAATCACAAATTAGGCAAGCCCACTGTAGCTTAGACCCTAGCAGCCCAGAAAACTAAATGGATATGTCCAAGAAAGTCATTAAGTTTCATCTCCCAGATTTTACTCCTATTGATTTATGAGGTGCAGTGAGACTTTCCTTCTTAAACACTTGTATAATCCAAAATTAATGTGTGAAGAAGATACATGTCTTCCTCCTGACTTCTAATAATGGTACAACTCATTAGATCCATTAATCAACAAAGATTTCTGGGACTTGAATCTTTATTCTAAGTTATCTTATGAAGAATGACAACTTAACCCAACAATGTAACCTATCTTTTCCCCAATTTGGAAGGTTCCAGATGGACAGGAGTGCAAATTGCTTTGGTCCTCCTGCATCCACATTAGGGAAGACTAATCTAACCTGCCTTAATTCTCTCCCTTTTCAAAAGCTTTCTTTCAATATTTCTCTCTGTGATAGGTTAAACATATCAACCTAAGTTTGCTGAATTGTGTGAATCCAACTTTTGTAGTTTGTAAATCCTAGTCCTGTAGGAGATAACCAGGCTGAGCTCAAGAGTGGGGTCAAACACATCATCCATCTCAATTCTCTTTATGTCCACAAGTGATCTAAGGCCAGACCACCTTGAATTCCTCAGACTCTTATCTACCACTAGTTTGGCTGATCGTTAGTAGTTCAGCTTCTTGTAGAGAGTAGGAATTTGGAAATGAGGAAGAAAAAAAGGGAATAGAAAATAAAGTAAGATAGACATACAAATAAGATGATGTCAATATATATATATGATGATAACAATGAGATGTAATGCTAATAAGACATTATCACCAGAAGAGCTGTATAATGTTTATCTGTATCTTAACTCTAAGCTTAGAGAAATAATATAAATGTGAATGGCATTATAAATGGTAAAGGATGTGGCACAGAGGTGTTAGTGCCCAGATGATACACTGCTTGAGAAAAAATGAAATGTTTGTACTTTTGAAACTGAAAAATAAAAAAATTATTATAAAAAAAAGATTCTTGTAGAGAGTATTAGCATACATTAGAAAAACCCTTCCATACTACCACCTCTTATTATACTAGACAACACAGTATCAACAGTAGAGACCTTCAAATTTCTAGGTTCTACTATATTACATGACCTAAAATGGACACCTAACATCAAAAGCATCATCAAAAAAAACATTGGATTGTAGGATTGTAACTTTGTCGCTTGTTATAATTTATATTGACTGTTTCCTAGTATGATTTGATTGCTGATTATACCCTATGACTATTATTAAGTGTTGTACGTTCTGATTCTCAACTCTTGACAAATGTATCTTTTTTTATATAAACTGAGAGTATTTACACCAAGACAAATTCCAATCACACTTGGCCAATAAAGCTATTCTACTCTACTCTACTCTACTCTACTCTACTCTACTCTACTCTACTCTACTCTATTCAATTCAATAAACTTATATTCATTTGAACTGCCTGGATTCCTGATTTCTTGCTCTTGACCATGGTATATACTGCATGTATGATCAAAACCAACTATAGCCTAGATATGAGGACCATCTCTAACCTGTCATACTCCCAATTCTTCCTTTAACCCTGTGACCTTCCTCATATGTCACTCAACTGGGCTCCATCTACTCTTCATCATCTCCCTGTGGTCTATCATACATCAAGTCCTAAGATGTAAGAACCCTTTCCAGCAAAACAGAAGGAGAATGGAGGGTATTTATCTGTAACTCTTTAGATGGGAAACCATTACCTCCACTGAGTAATGCAGGGCTGAAGAGGCTGGGTGCAGAGAGAGATTCTGGAAAGGTTTGATGTGTGGTTTTCCCCAGCCATTTTCTTTGCTCCACTCCACGGTGAGCATATGGTCCGTGAAATTTTTCCCGAAGACCAGCTTGCTGGAATCTGGTTTGGGCTTTAGATGTTTGTTCAATTCAATCTGGAGATCTGAGGCCTGGAAGAAATGCAGGGTCATTGACTTTCTCCCCACCCAATGTCAAATTAAAAATTGAAAGTTACCCCAAAACATGTGGGCTTATATTCTACCCACTTCGCCCAATATGGAACAGATTCCCCCTCAATGGGATGGGATGGGATGGGATGGTGTGAAATTTTCTCACCTTGAACGTGGTGCTGAAAAACCTCTGAGGAGCAAAAAGTAGAACATCTGCAACTTTTCCTCTCAAAACCTAGAAGGAAATAGGAAAAGGATTAAGAATCTAAATGAATATCTGCCTCCGGAATAGAGAAGCAGTCCTGCAAATATCCTTTTCTAAATTGCATGACTTAGCAGCTGTGCCTGAAAAATGTCTAAAGCAGATGTGCAGGTGTACTTCTTGGTTTGTTTGTCAATTACCCTGGAGCTTTTCCCACTTTAGGGAAAGAACCATCATAAAACTAAGCACATGCTTTCCTGCGTGCAAATGACCCTCAGACTAAAATCCCCTTCTGGTTAAAAATCATTTCAAACAGTTGGCTGGGAAAGACTGTTTTGCCCCCAGTATCTCTGGTGAAGAAACATAGTCAGGATGGACACAGTGAGCAGATGGTCCACTAGCTAAATTAAACCAGGACATTTAGCAAAATGGCTAATCATTAATGCTATTTTCCAACCCACGAACAAGCATTTGTGTGCCCAGTTCTAATTTCAAAAGACAGTGATTGGTTTTAGAGAGCTGCTAGAGGAAAATGCCAGTGGGCAGACCGGAAAACAAAAAAACAAATTGCTTCATTTGGTTTTCATTGATTCTCACCACGGATACTAAAGATCTGGATTTTATTTTTAAGTTTCAACTTCTTTATGGGTTGTGATTAATTAAAAAGGTCAATTAAATTATGGGCAATCACACGCAGTCCTATTTTTCCTTTTTGTAACTGTCAGGGCCTTCACTGATCAAGACTGCTGAAAACTGACAAGATGGGTTCCTGCCATTTTGAGGCAGGAAATATGTAAAAACCATAGTATAGATCCTAAAACAGTCAAATCATGGTTTAAAAGCACACAAACAAACAAAAGAACCTTCAAAGTACTAATCTTACTTACTTTCTACAATGTCATATGGCAAACTATTTCTCCTTCCCTGTACTTCAAGCTTGAGTGTCTTTCTGCAGTAAGTATACTATGTCTACCGCATTTCGCTGGTGTACTAATTTAGTAGTCAACAGGCCATTGGTGTGATTTAAGAACCTCCCGTGTTCAGATCAATCTCACCAAACCAGGGTTACTTGCAGCGAACCCAGTGGAGCTTCCACCTTCACAAGAGAATTGGATTATAACCTCTAAGAGCTTTCTTTAATTGTTACCAAGGAAAAGGAAAAATATCTCCAGGCATTCCTGGGGAGGAAGGAGATACATGTGGAGAAACCCTGGTCTGCTAGGCCAGTGTTTTTCAAACTCGGCACAATAGCAATAGGTCTATGAAGATTCTCAGTCATCCAGGTCATGGTTCTCCCAAATGTGTTTTTTCAAGAAGCAACTGGACTTTCTGGTTTTTCTCTGAAGACATGAAGCCATGAAGCTTCTTCAGCTCTTCAGCTTGGATGAGAAGTGAAACATCTTCAAAGAAAAGCCATAGAAAGTCCAGTTGCCTCTTGAAAAAGCACTTTTGGAGCAATAACAATAGACTGTAAGTCTAAGTGCTTTACAAATGTCAGCATATTGCGCCCAATAATCTGGGTCCTCATTTTATTGACCTCAGAAGGATGAAAGGCTGAGTTAACTTTGAGCCAGTCAGAATTGAACTCTTGGCTGTGGGCAGGTGGTCTTCAATATTGCATTCTAACCACTGTGCCCCCATAGCTCACAATACATGGATTTAAAGTATCAGAATTGCCCAGCCAATGCTGTGCTAATGTAAGCAAAGGCCACAAATTCATAAGACCCTGATCTGACTCTGAGCTCTGCCACAGGTTCCTTAGATGCCTCCTACAGAGTTGACTTTCAGCTTGGCCTTTCCCACAGTTATAATAGAGGCAGGCCTTGACTTACAACCAAAACTGGGACTAGGATTTCTATTACTAAATAAGATGGCTGTTAAGTGAGTTGCACCCAATTTTAGGAACTTTGGGAGCTTTTTTTGCACCGTTGGCAGGAAAAACCAAACATGCAGATTTAGAATAGGCAGACCTGGCTCAACAGCTATGCCTGTGAAGGGAATCTTAGTGGACTATCACTTAAGGATGAGCCAGCACTGTGCTGCAGATGCCAAAAAAAAGCCAATGCAGGCTGCATCAACAGAGGGATAGCATCAAGATCAGGAGATATGATAGTACTGCTATATACTTCACTAGTGAGGCCACACCTGAAATATTGCATCCATTATACAAAAAAGATGCTGAGACCCTTTGAAAGTGTGCAGAGAAGAGCAACAGGGTGATAATGAGCCTGGGGACTAAATGGTATGAGGAACAATTAAGGGAACTAGGTGTGTCCAGCCTATGAAAGAGAAAGATTGGGGGCAACATGATAGCTATCTTCTATCCTGAAGGGGCTGTCATAGAGAAGAGGGGCTTGACTTATTCTCCAACAGGCAGAAGAACAAGAAACAATGGGTAGAAGCTCATTAAAGAGAGATCCAATTTGGAACTAAGGAGAATTTCCCTGAGAGTAAGAACAATTAATCAAGGGAACAGTTTGCCTCCTGGAGTTGTAGAGGCTCAATCCCTGGAGGTTTTCAAGAAAAGATTGGACAAACATTTCAGCAGGATACTCTAGCCATCATTTCTTCATTTGCAAAAATCAAGCATTTACTCTTAGAAAGCACTATGACTATTACCTAATTTCCTATAGCTCCATCTAAAAAGACCACTAGAAATAGAAGTGATTCTCCCCAGAAAGTCACGAGAAGGGTAGCAATACAAAAATTCGGTGCCGAGAGTCTCAGTGACACAATTGCCTTCCTGCAGCATGAGTTGTTCGGGCTAAAATCTCTGCACTGATATAAACAAGAACCCAACATTCTTAAGCAAACAACTTCAGTTAATATGTAATCCACAAAGATAAACAGGAGGGGCTGATGGGAGAGTGATGGGTGACATCCCATTCTGGTTCTGTTGTGGGAAGGGGAGACTTTTATTATTCATCTTGCCTGGACTGAGATGGAAACCAGCGGCACAGTTTTTGGAAGGACAGCCTTTGCCCATTTTCACTGGCAAGGCCCATGCACAAAAGGGGCGATTGACAAGGCAGGCGTGGGAAACGTATTTCTGCAAAGATGAGTTTCTGCCAATCAGAGGCCGGAGCAGATTCTCCCCACCTCAGTCCGGACTGAACTTCAACCCCGTTGAATCACCAACTGGCAAGAGCCTGGATGCAAACTATATCAGAAGGAAGAGGCTGCCATGACTGGAACGTTCTCTTCGGAAAAATAAAACTGCAGCTCTCACTGGCAACGAAAGCAAGGAAGACAGAAAAGGTAAGTCTGCATAAATCTGGGAAGCAAAATCATTAATTATATTTTCTCTTCCTATCTGTCCTGTCCTGCCTCAATCGGGAATTGTGCAGTTTATTAGAAAGTGAGAAAGCAAGAAGAGCTTCAATGCTTATGCAGAGGGAAAATAAAAAGCAGTGCAAATAAAAAATGCTGCAGTGAATTCCTAACATTAATTAGGATTAATTAACAGTAATTAGAGATTACAGGAGTTCCCAAAGTGGCTAGGCTGGTTGGAAATCCTAGGAGAAATTGTCCCAGTTCATCTAGAGATTATATCATTGGAGCAGAAGGTATTCAAGGTTTAAAATAAGCTTTAAAGTTAAAGGAGGATGATCTCCCCACTCCTAAATTCCAGAGCAGATGCAACGGTAGGATTCATACCGTGCACCTCTGTTTCTCAACCTTGGCCCCTTCAAGATGTGTGGACTTCAACTCTCAGAATTCTCCAGCCAGTCTTGCCAGTTTAGGAACTCCTTGCTTGCTGGGGAATTCTGGGAGTTGAAGTCCAAGTGGCCAAGGTTGAGAAACACGGCCTTACACTAAGCTCTGCTTTAACAGCAGTTAACAAGCCACAATTTGCTGAGCTCACACATCACATATGATGCTGTAAATGACAAACCGTGGCTTGGAGGTCGTAATAGCCATGTGGACAAAGCATGCAGAGACAATGTCAAACAGTTCACACGATGGCTGAGGGCGGTTTATGATATTCAACCAAAGAGTACCACGATGCCTTAATTAAACTGCTTAACGAAAATATATTAAAGCTACCCTGGATTTTCACTGAGTACATTTAACAGAATAACAGAGTTGGAGGGGATCTTGTGGACTTCAACTCCCAGAATTCCTCAGCCAGCAAAGCAAAGCTGGCTGAGGAATTCTGGGAGTTGAAGTCCACAAGTCTTTACAGTTGCCAAGGTTGGACACCCCTGCCCTATACCATTCCAGACAAATGGCTGTCTAGTCTCTTCTAAAAAGCCTCCAGTGACAGAACACTCACAACTTCTGAAAGCAAGTTGCTCTATTGGTGATTATAATGGATAAGCTGAAACCAGCGGACTCAAGTTTATCTATTCAGTTTCTTTGAAAAGCGGGGATTTGAACTCTGATCTCCCAGCATTGGTGAGTAAAGTCCAGTCTTCTACTGAGATTAGGTTGGCCTGCAGTTTTTTGAACGCCCACCAGAGGAACTACAACCCTGAGATTTTTTAAAAGATTGCAAGGGGGGAATCTGCCACAGCTTTACTTACCTCCCAGGACTGTTGGTGTGAAGGAAAAAATAGGGAAAAAAAAACCACTATGTAATTGCCTGAAGGGAAAGCAGGATAAACTCAAATATATAGACAAACTGAGAGGCATTAAGGCAGGGGTATCAAACTCAAGGCCCGGGGTGGGGGAGGGATCTGACCCACAGGGTACTTAGATCCGACCCACAGGACTGGCCTGGAAATAACAAAGGATTGGTCCACAGTGCCTCTGCTAGCAAAAAGAGGGTGCAGGGGGGCCGTGGGCAGCCCCCGCCTGCCCGTTTTGGGCCTGGACAGCCTCCTGCAGCCTCCTGCCAGCCAAAACAGGGCACAAGGGGGCCAAGGGCAGCTCCCACGCACCCCGTTTTTAGCCTGGATGGCCTCGTGCAGCACCCTGCCAGCCAAAACGGGACCCGGGGGGCCTAGGCAGCCCCGCCCATGCTCCGTTTTGGCCGGCAGAGTGCTACAGGAAGGCGTCCGTCCTGTCTCCTCCCCCCACTCCCCTCCGCTGGCCCGCAAAGGACATCTATAACGTTGATCCAGCCCTCCAAGAAATCCAGTTTGACATCCCTGCATTAAGGACACTGAAGTGAGGCAAGAAGTACTGAGAAGCCACAATACCATTAATTATTCCATGCTACAACTGGATCGCACAGAGAGAGAGAGAGAGAGAGAGAGAGAGAGAGACAGGGAAAGAGAGAGACAGGGAGGGGGGAGAGGGAGGGAGAGATGAGAGAGAGAGAGAGAAAGAGAATTCATTTAATGATTAAAGCACCAGGCTAGAAAGCAAGAGATTGTGAGTTCAAGTCATGCCTTAACCATTAAAGCCATCTATTTAAGTGACCTTGGGACCTTGGGTCAGCTCACCCCAAAGGGATGTTGTTGTGGGGAAGACAGAAGGAGAAAAGTGTGTTAAATATATTCACTGCCCTGAGTTATAAAATAAATAAATCAATAATGCAACTGGACTTAAAAACCTTTCCCCTGGAGTCTCCCAAAAGTTTTCTGGATCTACTAACTCAGGGGTAGTCAACCTTTTTATACCTACCGCCCACTTTTGTATCTCTGTTAGTAATAAAATTCTCTCTAACCGCCCACTGGTTCCACAGTAATGGTGATTTATAAAGTAGGGGACAAAACCCCCACCGCCCACCATGAAAGTTGGAACGCCCACTAGTGGGCGGTAGGGACCAGGTTGACTACCACTGTACTAACTTCTCCATCAATCAATCATCAGCTCAACAGGGATTCCAAAGGGTGGCAAACTGGCTGGTAAAGAGCGTTTCTCTTTGCTTTCTTGCCTAAGCCTTTTCAACCTGGAGATGCCGCGGGACATTCTCTAGGCGAAACAGATATTAAATCCCTGGGTTTTCCATGACAGGTGGTGGTTTGGAATCAGGTGGAAGAGAAGGGCATGGAAACCCTTATTTTTTTTTAAGTTAAGTTGTAGTTCTAAGATTTTATATTTATAGGATGCCTGGAGGACCTTGTATGTTTTTTCCTTCTGTTATATAAACATTATAAGAAATGGATATCAGTAGGTAAGCAACAAAGGCTACCCAAATGAGTCCACCTTCCTTTAAACTCTCAGAGTAGAGAGATATAATGTTATATTGTATCTTGCCCCCTTTTTACAAGCTTTTACGTGACTATCTCCTCTTCTGTAGGAGGGTGGATATGCGCAGTGTATATGTCCTGTGTGATATTTTCAGTTACATTGGCCACCAGGAGGCACTATGTTTCCTATTACGGGTGATATTACAGTAAGAATGAAAGTGGTGTACAGGTAGTCCTCGACTTGCAACAGTTCATTTAGCAACTGTTACAATGGGGCTGAAAAATGCAACTGGTGACCATTTTTCACAGTTGTGACCTCTGCAGCATCTCCATGGTCATGGGATCAAAATTCAGATTCTTGACAACTGGTTCATATTTATGACCATTGCTGTGTCCCAAGATCATATGATCCTGACCTTCTGCAACCTTCTGACAAGCAAAGTCAGATTCATTTAACAATCAGTTTACTAACTTATCAACTGCAGTGATTCACTTAACAGCTTTGGCAAGAAAGGTCATAAAAGAAGGCAAAACTCACTTAACAGGTTTCTCACTTAATAACAGAAACATTGGGCTCAATGGTGGTCATAAGTCGAGGACTACCTGTCAATAGATAGGTAATAGAGCTTTAAGTACATTGGGTACATTAAGTACAAACAATAGAGTTTTAAGTACACTGTGTACATTAAGTACAAGCAATAGAGTTTTAAGTACATTGTGCCAACAGATATCCAACAATGGATGGAAAGTGTTTCTCCATTGAGAGGAGAGATTGTAAAGTTTTTTTCTTTTAATGTTTCAGCGTGACATCTTGGACTTCCAAAGGATGAGTCCTCGCAAAAGATCCCCTCTGGATAGTGAGATAGTAAGCATATAAATTTAGTACTATTAAAAAATAATAATAGCATGCAGACAGGAGGTTTTGCCAGCCAATGGCAATTACTTGAAAGCATGCAGAAAACTCTTTTAACAGTAGAGGCAGCAAAAGCCAAACACACAGACAAGTCTTCCCTGCATAAAAATATAATCTGCATTCCATCTGCTTTAATAGCTTTAAACAACCACTTTCTTCCGGTTTTCAGAAGGTTTGAGTAGCCTTGAGAAAAGTTAACTCCCTGCAGGTGATAAGGCAAATAGTTATTACAACCTTGCCCAAAGGTGTTTCCCCATCTCTCACCCCCCCTCCCCAATCTCCTTCTCTCTTCCTTTCTCTCCCTCTTCTATCCATCTACCCCTCTTTCTTTCAGTCTGGTCTTTCTGTCTGTCTCTCTTTCACTAAGCTCAAGGACTAGAAAGTTGTGATTGATTTTAAGATTCAAAACCTCACATTTTATCCTAAATGCTTTACTTGAATAGCAAACCTATTTACCTGTAGATTATCCTGCCCTTGGGAAAATCAGTGACAGGAACAGAAGGACTGACTAAACCAGTTTCTTCCCTTCCAAACTGATATCTGGGATCACAGCCAGCGAACAATGACATTTCCCCTTGCCTAAAGCAAAGGCTCAGTTTAGAAGTACACCAGATAAATTTGCAGTGAATTAGAAAGACTCTGCCTCACCCTTCTAAGAGAAACAGAAGAAGTATTATTAATAATGGCAACACACTGTCAATGTCAAGAAGAGAACATGAGCATACAAGTAGGGACAGATCAAAATATTCCAGTATGGAAGTTTTCAGTCTAAGGAGCCTGAACTAAGGTGTCTAGGGAGCCTCATTTACCCATTTCTAGGCATCAATTTCAATTTGCTTTCTGTAAAATAGTCTCTCAATTTTATAGGTTCACAATAATAGCTGCCTCACCAGTTATCTAACCTCTCCCTCAATAGGTTTAAGCTACAGAGGAGTTAAAGAGTGTATTTATTAAATTTCTACACTACCCATCTCACCTAAGTGCCCCTGGCAACATCTACACCACCATAAGAAAACCATGTAAACACATGAATAAAACACAAATTAAAAACAAAGGTAGGAACAAATTACAGCTTACAAGCAAAAATAAAAAATCAATTAAAATTCAGGAGGCTAATTAATTTGCGCTCCTGGTCAAATTCAAAACCCCTCAGGGGAAAGGGAAACCAGAGAAATCAAATCCCCAGGAAGAACTGTACAGGTGGCTGCCATAGCCACGTGGCAGGGGGCAAATCATTTCTACAGCCCAGGCGAAATGCTATCCCAGGTGTATCCTGTCAGCCTCTAATTAAAGGGATTAGAAAGCAAACATGAGATTAACAGCCTCAAGAGAGTGTGCTTAATGTCTTTTAGGAAAGCAGACACCTCACTACCCATCTCTTGGGGCAAAATCTACAGATCCAGTTTAGATGAGGGAGTTGCTCAGAACCAATCAGTTATAGTGGCTCTTGCACATATGTCAATCTTTCTCACCAGATCTAATTTTCCTTTCAATTTCTTTCTAATAAAGCTTAATCAAACCAAGCATTATGGAAAAACTGTTCTGTTCTGCTTTCCCTTCCATTGTCTTTCAATTCTCAAAAGTCCTAGCAAACAGCTAATGCTTCCTTTAACAGTAAGATTTCACCATTATGTAAGTTTAAGGGATTGACTTTAGTACTATTATTCCAAACTTCACCAGAGATAGGTACCAATGAATCATGTATTCAAAAGTGCTAGAATCAATCCCCTAAACACCCCATAGACTGTGCCAAGATCCAACTGCAGGTATGATTTCTTATAAATCCAGAATTCTAACCATTCCTTTTGGAAAACTAACTTTTAGGACTTATTTATAACTAAAAATTTGAACCTGATAGTAGTTGGTGGGATTTTCTTTATGACTTACATTACACCAAGGAATGCAGGCAGTGCAATCAAGCATACCCCACCCCCCCATGCTCAATTTAGCATTAGGAGACAGTGTAGGAAATTGATAAAGATCACAGTATCATAGGGCTGGAACCTGAGGTCTTCTAGTGCAACCCATTGCCCAAGGCAATTATGTAAATTTGCAAAACCCAGTGATGGAGAAGGTTTTCCTCCAAATTTTTGCTTTCCTTCAGTTTGGAGACAATCCTGTGAATTACTTCTCTTCCCCCACCTCATGTAAATTAACCTGAGTTTCTCTCCCCAGGACTTAAGATTCCTTGTTAAAAGAATATGCATGCAAACTACAAAGAATTGGGTTTAGTGATGTAATACTAAGAAAAGGAGATTCCCTGATCCTAACAGAGAGACAGAGAAGCAATGTAAGTAATAATAGCTACCCTGGTTCTTGGTCTTTCAAAATTTTGGCCTTCTTTACATTCCTGGCAGGTAATAACACATTGATTCTCCTCCCTTTCAGTAGACAGAAACCTGATCATGCCACCTCCCCGAATCACCTTTATTGTTCAGGTAATTTCAGTTCTCTTAAGCTGAATGTCAAAAAGTCAAAGGTGAGGAAACAAAAAAGAAGGAACATGATGTCCCATGTTCCAAATATGAGTAGCCTACATTTTAAAAAGCATGATGCATGTAGTTGAAAGATTACAGCCATAGGGGAGGACCAGCATCCTGTCTGAGACAACAGATCTGAAGTTTACAACAATGTAACAGCACTGGAAAGTTTCATCAGCCCACTATGATTATATTACTATGACTAATGATCCAGAGTTACAGGAGCTGCATCACAAATATCTGGCAGGCACAGTATCAAGTTGACTTCAAAATATCAAAAATTTCTCCAGATGTTACAGTCCTGGTGGATGTCTCTTAAACAAGTCTTTCCTCACACCTCGCAACAAAGTTGGAATTGAAGCTCTCAGAATTGCAAACTGCATAAGCAAAGGCTTTGGGTTTACCTGTATTTTCTGAAAATGGTGTTATAGCATTTGCCACAAGTTTTAATGGAACTGCAAATTGGTATTGGCTGGGAATTCTGGCTGTTACATAATAATACAGGTGGAGGTGCCCCATTGGCCAAATCTGTCTTTAATTAATCAGAAAAGTATGATTTTCTAAACTGCACCTTTATGGATTAGTTGTTTACTTTGAGAAGAGATATGTCTGAATTCAGCCTAAGAACTATTATTTGGCCCATCCAGGCTAGAAATATGTATTAAAAGAAGGTACAAAAATATGTTTACAGATAGAGGGTGCTTTCTTTGAAAAATGCAGTGAGTTTAAGACTTTTTAGAAGAAATTCAGCTTTAGAAATCCCTCAATTGCCCTCTACTGCAAATCATCTTTCTCTGTAGGTCAAGTTGTTATACATTCTAAGAAATGAATAAATAATTATTTCCCCAAAAATGCAACTGCTGTAATTCTATTATCAAACCCACAGGAAGGTGTAAATTTCTTCATTGTTACCATAAGAAACATAACTTAAATAAGAATGTTTATTTATGTTTTATCCAGAACCTTTTACCCAGATCCAGAGAAAATGTTTCTTAATGTTAAACAGGAAGAGAAACCTGGAAAAAAAACCTGAAGGAAATAAGTATTTTTCCATTCTCAAATACTTTAGTTATTCATAAGAACTAAGACTGTTTAGCAGAACGACTTAAGAGGATAAGAATAAAAATATTTTGGAGGGGGAGGTGGGAATCTAAACCCATCCTGGAAGAATTTTAGGGAAGATTGACCTGAAGGGCTCAAATGAGTGTAACTGAAAGGACTGCTATTTTAAGGAGATGTTGGGGAAATTCCACCGATTTAAAAGAAACAATAGCATCTGTCAAATCGTAAGTATCTATGGAGAGGGGAAAGTAATTCAGGCAAATCCAGCTGGGAGAGTCTATCCCCATCACCTCCCCCCCCCCCCATCAAAGAAGCAACATATTGAGAGATATAAGTTCTAAGGTCTCCTTTTGAAGACCACAAAACATTTCCTGGTGGGGAGACAAAGGTATTTTGTTCCCACCACCATCCAGTCAATCCCGAAGGTGCCTTTGAGAAATTGCAGGGCGGGAATCAGTGCATCTGAGAGAGATTTTTGCTTTTCGATGTGCTCAAGGAGGGAAGAGCTCATTAGCTCATTTGGGGGGAAAGGAGCCAAGGGGGCATAGAGAGAAGAGGAAGGCAGAAAGCAGAAGGAGGGTGGGGCGGGGGGGTTGTTTGTTTTTTTGTTTTTGCGAGATGGCAAACCTAGTCCGGGGCTATCTAAGGAAGGGCAAAAATTGGGGGATCGGGGGAGGCAAGATTTGGTTTCCTGGTAGAGATGTAGAAAACGATTTCGCAGCTGGGAGGACGTGAGGAATGCCACTTCGGGGGCTGCAGAGAGAAGGGAGTGGGGTGGGGAAAACCTCAAGGGGAGCATTTTCTATCAGCAACGTTTCCGCCCGGAGCTATTTATAAACAAAACCGGAAACATCGCCCCTCCCTCTCCTTTCATCCGAGAGGGATGGAGCCCATCGCCGTTTCCTGTACCCCAACTTACCTGCCGTAAGCACCCCGGGACTCCCATGGTAACTGCCATGCTGTTGTTGTTAAGGCTGTGGTTTAATGGGACTGGGCGGGGCCTGCGGGAGACCAGGCCCCGAAGGGTCCCGCCTCCTCGGCCCGCCTCTGGCGACGCCTCGTTTGGCCGATCCCGGAGGCTGTTTTGAGTGAAGTGGCTGGGATGCAACTTTTGGGGTAGGGCTTCTGTTGTAGAACAGAGCACCGCTGAGCATGTACAGAACGTCGCACTTCTTGCTTTCGTGTGTGAAGAGACTGGACAACCATTTGTCTGAAATAGTATAGGGATGGGCTAGAAGACCTCTAAGGTCCCTTCCAACTCTTATTATTCTGTATTCTGCCTGGACAAAATCCTGGAGTTTTCCTGGCAGCATTTTTGTCTGTGGTTTGCACTCGCCTTTGGGGACTGGCTGAAGGTCACCCAGCTGGCTTTGTGTGTAAGGCAGGACTAGGCTAAAACTCACAATCTTCCGATTCCTAGCCTGGTGCCTTAACCACCACACCAGCATGTAATGCGGTGGCTCAGTGAGATATTTCTGCCAAGTTTCTTGTTATGAAACGGCCAGCTGTACTTCCTCCCATATTTTGGAGAAAACATAAGATTTTGCATGGGGAGTCCACTTGATACAATCTCCTTGTCTGAAAGGCTGCAAGTAGAATCAAAAATAGAATCAAAATTAAAATCAAATCAAAAATAGCCTGCCTCCTATTGAAAAGAGGCACTTTAGTGGAGCAGATAATGGCCAAGTGGATGATGTCCCAGATACAGGAAAAAAACAAAAGAAGGGCTGTGGCTGGAAGTTGGGAGGAATCTTTGAAGGGCATGTACAAGGTATTTTGTACAGAAGGCTTGTTAATTGCTTGGTTATGTTTATTTGCACACACATTTTTCGTGGCTCCAACTCTTCTACACAGTCAAGTGGAGGGGGGCACAGCCAATCACACCCAGGTCCTCCACACACGCCCTTTAACACAGCCAATAAATGGCTGGCATATATACCCTACAAGGAGCACATGGGTTTGTTTCAGCATACATACGCAGAGCAAACAACAGCTGCTCTGGCATATTGCCTGTAGGTGAGGCACCAGCAAACTCTGTATCTCATCTGGCTATGCATTATTTGTTTAATAGTATAGCCTTTCCAAAAACAGCATGTTGAAGAGGAAATGGGGAAACATTGCACATCTATTCCCACCTAAAATCAATGTAGGAAGCCAATCTTGCTGGACTAAATACATCCACAAAATGCTATTTTTTGGTAAAATGATCCTAAGTGGGGGTTTTTTTCAATGTTTCTGGGAATCTGTTAAATTATATGCCACTGAACAGATATGTGTGTTACGTCTCCAGTCTTGGTCTGAATTCTACTTAAATATTGTTTTGTTCAAAGTTAGTTGGAAAGCAGCTGCTTGATCAAGAACAATTGAATCTTTCACTGTCTTCCATCTCTCAAAAAAGGGGGAGAATAATCGGAACTGCACCCTTTCTTAAAAGATGATTGTACTTCAAAAAATTGAAATCCCCTACAAAAAGGATTTTGATCATTTACAAACATCTAAATGCTAAACTTCATCCACTTCTCTTTCTTCATCCATTAAGCAATAAAAGTTTACCTCAGGTGACTGTTATGAGATAAAGGAGGAAGGTTAAAGGAATTAGAAAATACTAAAAAATGCTTTTGAATGATTGATGTTTTTATTTGAAAAGGGGAAGCTCTGTTTCCAAATTCTGTTTTCGTTTGTTATGTAATACTCAAGTCAAATGAAAAATTGCCATGCAGGAAGGAAACTTGAAGAGAAATGGAAGAAATTAGGCAGGCAAAGACTATTCTGAAAACTGCTTCATAGACTTTCTCACATGTCATTCATAGGGCCTTTACCATCATGAGCCCTGTGGAAATAATCCCTGAAATATCCATTTAATTTATCTTTTTTTAAAAATTGTATTTTGGATTGCGAATGTCGCTTGTTACCTTTTTTGGAAAAATTAGGATCTAAAATTTGGAATGATAATGACTGATTGACTGGTTTGATGTATATTGTATTTTATTTTAGGACTTCCTATCTAGTTTTCTCCCCTAAGAATCCTGTGAGATACGTCTGAGAAATTTCCTGACATTTAGAACAGTTAATCAGTGGAACAACTTGCCCCCAGAAGATGTGTGTTCCCCAACGTGGAGGTTTTTAAGAAGAGATTTGTCTGAAATGGTATAGGGTATCCTGTTTGAAGACCTCCAAGATACCTTTCAACTTTGCTATTCTGACCCAAAATCACCCTCTGAGCTTCCATGGCTGAAAGTGGACTACTGTATAATCTAGGGCTCCTTGGTGTGGATCCAGCGTCTTAAGCATTGTACCATCATACCGGTTCCTCATTATGATAATACAGGTAGTCCTCGACTTACTACCACAACTGAGCCTAACATTTTTTATTTATTAAATGAATTTTGCCCCATTTTATGACCTTCCTTGCCTCAGTTATTAAGTGAATCACTGCGGTTGTTAAGTGAACTTGGCTTCCTCATTGACATTGCTTGTCAGAAGTTTGCAAAAGGGGATCACATGACCTTCAGATATAGCAACATCATAAATATGATACCAGTTGAAAAGCATCTGAATTTTGATCACATGATCTGTGAAATGATGCTGTGAAAAATGGTCGTTGCTTTTTTTAGTGCCCTTGTAATTTGAACAGTCACTAAGCAAACTGTTGTCTACTTGAAACAGCAGCAATCATTTGTTTTAATCAATCATAATATTCTTCCATCATGTAACTCTTAGTGTTACATCTTAATAATTTGCTCCCTAGAAGGTTGATGAAACCAGCTGTTCTCCCTTAGCATGGGAATACAGCTGCTTTTGGAATTTACATGGACATAGACTTTTTAAGGCTACTCTTTTTTACAACTGGTCTCCCAGTGTATTTTTGCTTTTTTTATTTTTCAAAGTCTTTTTTGGATAAGTCAAAAGCGTGGCAAGAGGTTGTATGGAAGAAAGTCTTGTTAAATGCCAGAATACAGCCAATTCTGGGGATAGTGTCACAATCTGTGTTCGCTTATGAGGCTTACTGTTAGATCTGAGATAACTGAGGGGCAACCCTTGATACATCAAAATATATAATTCATATTCCCAGCATGTTTTTTTTTAGGCCAAGTCTTGATTAAAATTTTTGCAAATCCAATCACTTACGTTTCTGGAAAGGGATGTTACTCTCAAGGAAAATGGAGCAGGTGTCTCCAACCTTGGCAATCTTAAGCTTTGCTGGCTGAGGAACTCTGGGAGTTAAAGTCCACAAGTCTTAAAGTTGCCAAGGTTGGAGACCCTGCTATAGAGGTTTTGGATGGTCACTTCCAAGGACTTTGCCATTACTCATGTTGTCTATGCTAATAGAAAATAAGGTAAATTCGAACAGCTTAGATTCAGCTCCTCCTCAAATTAAATATGTAAGCCTATTTTACAGGCCTCCTTGGAGAATTAAAGAAAAGGACCAAGATTAATATTTTTGGAAAAAAACAGGAACAAAATGTTGATGGCAACAATATTTTTTGTTGTTGTATGATGCCAACACCAGAACTACCCAAGGCAAATATAGGCCCCACTTATTAATCCAGAGAAACAATAGATGATAAGACATTTCATGGTCAGGGAATCAAAAGTTGTCAGTTAAACATTTTCATGCTTAACAAAGCAAGCTTTTAAAAAAAAAACAGATTTAGCCTCAAGGTCTAGTTCACCTTAGGCACAACTGTGTGAAAAACAGGTCTGTGCTGTTATCAAAGATTTAATTTGGAATGTTCACTGGAGCTGAACTCAGAATTTGTTTTTATTGCTAAGGTCAGGATTTGTGCAGCTTCTGTTCACAATGTAGTTATTTGAATTTGAGGGAGGGGCGTGATCCTTGAAGTTACAGTCCCTTTTATCTGGCGGGCATCACGAAGGGAAAGTCTGATGAAAAGTAACATAAAGATGTGGTTTAAAGTTATCTTTCTTGACAAATTTCTTCTCCAAGTTCAGGATAAGCAATTCTGAACTACGCTAATGTTTTGTGCTTCAGGAGCACCTCATAAGGTGAGGCAGTGAGATTGAAGATAACGCGGAGTTGATATTTTCAGCCCAATTCTTAGGTTTGGGGAGGTGGGTGGAGAGGGAGTTAATTAAAAACAGATGATGTATGCTTCCCAAGTTTTGACTAATCTTATTTTGAGTCTTTCTTTTTTCAACCTTCTCCCAAAAGCCACACTGCCAACAATCGGAACAATTCATCAGTGGAACGACTCGCCTCCAGAAGTTGTGGGTGCTCCAACACTGGAAGTTTTTAAGAAGATGTTGGATAACCATTTGTCTAAAATGGCATATAGGGTTTCCTGCCTGAGCAGTGGGGTTGGTCTGGAAGACCTCAGAAGTCCCTTCCAACTCTGTTATTCTGTTATTAGCATTTTATTGTTGAATTCTGGTACACCAGAAGGACAAAATGGAATTAGAGACTGATTAAGGACACAAGTTGGCAATTCTCTTAGGTCCATCATTCCCAGGAGTCTGAAGTGCTGATTTCCCTTCCGTTGCAGTATACTGTAGTTCGGGTGTGTTACTATTTCAGCCCTGTACATAATTTCATGCATTCACACATCCACATATCCTTTTCCTCCCCTCAACCAGCCAATTGCAACCTGCAGTGAAACTCTGGCAAGCAGGAAACAGATCTTTTGGCTTCTTGCCATGAAGATACCCTATTGATCATGCCGTTATGCCAATCAATGGGGAAAGTGGGTGGCATCCTGATTTTGGCATGCCAGGCCTTTCCTTGCTAAGGACCAGCTGTTCTGCCAATGAAGTATTGCTGCCTACCAAGGCAGATTTCTGGAGTAAGAAAAAGGAAAACCTCTTCATTTTTGTGGTGGATTAGAATTTATTAAAGCCTCAACAGGTCCCAGAGCTCTTACGAATACAGTATTTTTTACTACCACAAATCAATGCAGCAATGGAACTGTTCCACTTCAATTTCACGAAGCAAGCCAAGAGTGCAGCTCGAGTAGATTTCCCCATGTGAATTTGTAATTTGCGAAAATTGTCCCCTCTCAGAAGGCTCTTGCTAGCTGTCAAAGCCAGAATTGGGGTCTTGGTGGCTCTTCCTCCCATAGCCAAGTTCAGCTCCGCCACTGAGGAAAAGGTTGGTCCCTGTGCAAAACGTAGCATCTGAAGCGAGGTAGAGGGCAGCTTTTGCACACTCTGCCGGAGTCCCCATCCGTCCCATAAGCTGCAATCACAATAGAGAAGAGAAAGAGGGAAATCTGGAGTCTCTCCAAAGAGGCACATACCCTGCCCTGATGCGTTTATTTTTACCCATGAATTTTGTTTCCTTATTGAAGAAGAAATAAAGATTTTAAAGCTCGGGGTTCTGTGATGAGCTTATTATAGTTCAATAACTAGAACAGATATCCCAAATCACAGGCTCCAGTACATACACATATTTCTCTCCCTCCAATGCATCTGAGGGCAGGACAAGAAGCAATAGGTGGAAACTAATCAAGGAGGGAAGCAACTTAGAACTAAGGAGAAATTTCCTGACAGTTAAAACAATTAATCAGAAGTTGTGGATGCTCCAACATCCACAACTCCAGAAGTTGTGGATGCTCCAACACTGGAAGTTTTTAAAAAGATGTTGGGTAATCATTTGTCAAGTGGGGTAGGGTTTCCTGCCTAAGCAGGGGGTTGGACTAGAAGATCTCCAAGGTCCCTTCCAACTCTGTTTTCTATTCTATTCCATTCTGTTCTATACTCTATCCTATCTTCTATTCTCTATCCTATCCTATCTTCTATTCTATTCTATTCTACTCTATTCTCTATCCTATCCTATCCTATCTTCTATTCTATCCTATCCTATCCTATTCTCTATCCTATCCTATCTTCTATTCTATTCTCTATCCTATCCTATCTTCTATTCTATTCTATTCTCTATCCTATCCTATCCTATTCTCTATCCTATCCCATCCTATCCTATCCTCTCTTCTCTTTTCTATTCCTCTATCCTATCCTATCCTATCCTATCCTATCCTATTCTCTATCCTATCCTATCCTATCTTCTATTCTCTATCCTATCCTATCCTATCCTATTCTTTATCCTATCCTATATTCTGTTCTATTCTATTCTATTCTATTCTATTCTATTCTATTCTATTCTATTCTATTCTATTCTATTCTATTCCTCTATCCCATCCTATCCTATCTTGTATAAAGATTTATTGCAAGTTAAGCTCTCTTCAAGAATCTGAACTACTAATGGTCAAAGCAAGATAAGAATCAAAGGAATTCAAGGTGGGCTGGACTTAAATCTCTTGTGGGCACAAAGAGACTCATGACTGAAGCATTCTACCCCTCCCTCGGCTCAGCCTGGTCATTTTCTACATCAGGAGTCTATCTGTGAATTAAAGATTAAGTACAGGTAGTCCTCAACTTACGAAAGTTCATACAGTGACCATTCAAAGTTACAATGGCACTGAAAAAATTACTTATGACAATTTTTCACACTTAGGACCATTGTAGCATCCCCATAGTCACGTTATCAAAATTAAGATGCTTGGCAACTAATTCACATTTAGGACGGTTACAATGTCATGTGATCAGTTTTCCAACCTTCTGACAACAAATTCAGTAGGGAATCCAGAGTTACTTAACCACCATGTTACTAACTTAACAAATGCAATGATTCACTTAACAATTGTGGCAACAAAAGTCATGAAATGCGGCAAACTCAACAAATGTTTCACTTAGCAATATAAATGTTGGGATCAACTGTAGTTGTAACTTGAGGACTACCTGTACATAAACCAGAAAAGTTTACTATCACCTTTACAGATAGTCCTTGACTTACAACAGTTCACTTAATGACTGTTGAAAGTTATAATGGCACTGACAAAAAGTTATGACCATTTTTCAGACTTATGATCATTGCAGCATCCCCGTGGTCACATGATTTACATTCAGATGCTTGACAACAGATTCACATTTATGACGGTCAAGTGTCCCCAGGGTCATGTGATCCCTTTTTGTTACTTTCTGACAAGCAAAGTCAGTGGGGAAACCGGATCCACTTAACAACCTGGTTAGCAATTTGACAACTGCAGTGATTCACTTAACAAATGTGGCAAGAAAAGTCGTAAAATGAGGCAAAACTCATTTAACAAATTTCTACTTAGCAACATAAATTTTGCACTCAATTGTGGCCATATGTGGAGGATTAGCCTGTATTTCCAAGCATGCCAAAATCCCACGAGAATGTTTAAAAAAATAAAATGGATGACTGCAGCCTGTAATTTGAATTGTCCTCTGTGCCCATTAAAGCCGTCCTTGCTGCAAGAGCTTTGGTTGTATTTTCACAATGTTTATATATGGACTTCTGAAATATTGTCTAAGTTGCCCAATCTTGCATTCCCATTTTCCCACAATGCACTTGCCTGAGCATCTTTGCCTTCCTTGATCATTGCCTCTTCACTGGCTGCCTGGCTCGCAAGCTTCTCCCATCCAGAAGTCCAAATATTGCTGGGTGAGATGCTGGAATTCCAATGGTTAGTGTGTGTTAATGGGGAAAACATAGTGGAAGAACAACTAAACTGATCCAGTATTTTTATTTTTATTAATGTAACCTCATTAAATTAAATCAAAACTGCCTTATATATGCTGGTGCAGAGATTGGCAATACAGCACTTGTGAATACCAGAGCATCTGTCATCTCCAAAACAGCCACCCTGCAAATCTGAGCATAAGTCAAAGCCAACTCTTTCCCCAAAGTGAAAAATATTCAAGAATATCATGGGCCTGCCCGGACTTCCGGTTTGAAGGGCTTCGGCGACAGACAGAAATCTGCGATCGTGCGTGGTTTCTGTCTGGGCTTGCCACTGGAGTGCCCCGAGCTGGCTGGTTTCAGGGCTAAGCCACCCCGTAGGGGTGGTGAAGAGGGGGGAGACCACCAGCAGGGTCGAGGAGAGCCGCATCTCTCCTCCTCAGCTGGCCATACTCCCTTTCCCAAAGGCGGTTGCAGCGGTGGTCAGAAATGGCCACCACAAAGAAGAACCGGAAAAGAATGTGCAGGAGGAAGATAAGAAGTGAAAGTTTTGGCTGACCAGGTTAAATTGTGAAAGCAACAACTAAGATACCCTGGAATTTAAACTTACAAAAAAATAATATCGCTCCCAAAGAGTCGGAAGCAGCGAAGGAAAGTGAAAAGGGAAAGTTTTTTTTTCACTCTCCTTCCTTTCGTTGACAGCGAACAGAGATGAATGAGAAATCGGAAAAATCCGCTTTGGCATCAATAGGTAATTAAACTGGAAAATTAAATGCCAAGGGGACAATAAAGATTTCTGAACAAGTGGGAAGGGAGAGGAAAAGAATAAGAGCAGGATTTGGAAGGAGGAGGCTGCCTGGAATTCAAAGAATCTAAAGCTAAATCTTAACAAGATTTCTAAAAGATACATTTTAACTGGGACTTTGTAACTAAATAGTAACCCCAGGAAGAGAAAGTGAAAAAAGAAGAAAGTGTTTAAAAAAAACAGCTTGCGTGTATTTGGATTGCTTGGTGACTTTGGGACTTCTGGAAATTATATTTGAATGATTAAAAACACTTGGGTGGTTGTTTAAAAAAATTTTTTACAATGGCATTACTTGTGGATGAACTGAAAATGGAATTTAAAAAAATATAAAGAAGAGGAACAAGAAGGGAAAGGCTCTCTTGGCTCCATTTTTCAATTCTTAGAAATGGCGATATGTACCTATGAGAAACTACAAGAAAAGACTGCGCAACAAGAAGATTGGGACAAAGAAGAAGCCATCTTTAATGAACAAGTAACTTTACTTGGGGAAGAAAGGGGAAAGGAGGGAAAGAAAATGGAGAATTTAAGACCTAAAAAAACAACCAAAAAAAGGGAAAAATAAGGTGAAAAGTGGATATAATGTTAGAAAGCAACAGAAAAGGGGAACACAGAAGAGGGAAATGGAGGTGGAGAGACAAGGGGGTAAAAAGGGCAGAGAGAAGAAGCAAAGGAGGAAGGAAGGGAAGAGAAGCTACAAAAGTGTGGAGCAAGATATAAAGAAACAGGACTTATTCAGAGATAATGGGTAAAAATTTAACTGAAAAAGCAATTCTGCAAAGGTATATTGTTATATTTGTATTAGAAATAATGTTAGAAAATTGGAAACAACATATGATTAAAAAGTGGGATAAAATACTCAGTGTAATTCAGTGAAACTTTTATGAACAAAATAAATGAAATGAAATAAATGAGAGAATTGAATTAGGAAGGAATGGGAACATTTTAATGACACAATGTTTTAAAATATAAGTGAAGTGGGGGGAAGTAACTATGGAAAGTTTATAAGTGTTCCCATAGAAGCATGATACCTCTTTGAAAAGTAATGTGTAAAATGTTTAAGATTTAAATGAATATTAATATTAACGATAGAATTGAATTGGTATGGATTGTTGTTTTAATTATATATTTATAATTTTTTCTCTTTTTAAAATATAGTGTGTAGGTTTAGAATGTACTAAGCAGAATCTGAATGGACGTTATGTATTATATTAAGTGTTATAAATTTAGGGGAAAGATATAAAGGCGTCATACTCCAATCAGTGATTACAGGAGAAATTTTGTTTAATGAGAAAAGATAATAGACAGCTGAAACAGGACAGACAAAGAATATAAGTATAATGATCTGAATTGAGATGAAATAAATAAAATAAAATTAAGAAAGTTAAAAGAGGGGAGAAGCTATATAGAAAATGTAGAGTGGTAATAAAATATGGAATGGTATATAAAAATGAGCATGAACTTGAATTTGTGTCTGTACGAAGAGATGTAACCCGGGATCAAGCTGCTTTCAAAAAAGATGTTTTATGTTTTGTTTATGTTTGTTTTTAAAAATCAATAAAAAAAATTAAAAAAAGATTTCTAAAAGATACATTTTAACTGAAACTTTGCAACTAAATAGTAACCTCAGGAAGAGAAAGTGAAAAAAAGAGCAAAAAAGAAACAGCTTGAGTGTATTTGGATTATTTGGTGATCTTTGGACTCTTGGTTATTATATTTGAATGACTAAAATCAATCAGGTGGTTGTTTAAAAATTTATACCATGGCACCACTTCTGGATGAATTGAAAATGGAACTTAAAAAGTACAAAGAAGATGCACAAGAAGGGAAGGGTTCTTTTGGCTTCGTTTTTCAGTTCTTAGAAATGGAGATTTGGAACTATGAGAAACAACAAGAAAAGACCGCAAAACAAGAAGACTGGGACAAAGAAGAAGCCATCTTTAATGAACTAGCAATTTTATGTGGGGAAGAAAAAGGAAAGGGGGGAAAGACAATGGAGAATTTAAGACTTAAAAAAACAACCAAAGAAAAGAAAAATAATTCGAAAAATAAGTATAATACTGGAAAGCAACAGAAAAGGGAATACAGAAGAGAGAAATAGACGTAGAGAAACAAGGGGGTAAAAGGAGAGAGAGAAGAAGAGAGGGAAAAAGGAAAGGAAAAGAAGTTACAAAGGACTGGAGCAAGATATAGAGAAACAGGACCTATTTAGAGATAATGGGTGAAAATCTAACTGAAAAGGGGATTCTGTAAAGGTACATAAGACTGTATTGTTATATTCGTAATAGAAATAACTTTAGAAAATTGGAAACAACGTATGATTAAAATGAGGGATAAAATAGTGTAATTTAGTGAAATGTTTGTGAATAAAATAAGTGAAATAAAATAAATGAGAAAATTGAATTAGGAAGGAATGGGAACATTTTAATTAGTTAATGTTTTATAAAATATAAGTGAAGGGGGGGAATTAACTATGGAAAGCTTATAATTGTTCCCATAGAAATATGATATTTAATTGAAAAGTAATGTTAAAGATGTTAAGACTTTAATGAATATTAATATTAATGATAGAATTGAATTGGAATGGAATGTTGTTTTAATTATATACATTTATAATTTTTTTCTTTTTTTAAGAATACAGTGTGTATTTTAAGAATGTACCAAGCAGAATCCAAATGGAAGTTATGTATTATATTGAATGTTACAACTTTAGGGAAAAGATATAAAGGCGTCATATTCCAATCAGTAACTACAGGAGAAATTTTGTTTAATGGGAAAAAATGATAGATAATTGAAACAGGACAGACAAAAAATATAAATACAATGAGTTGAACTGAGATGAGATAATTAAAATAAAATTGAGAAAATTAAAAGAGGGGAGAAGCTATGCAGAAAATGTAAAATAGTAATAAGATATTCAATAGAATATAAAAATGAGCATGAACCTGAATTTGTGTTTGTACGAAGAAATGTAACCCGGGATTACGCTACTTTCAAAAAAGATGTTTTATTTGTATTTTTTTTTCTCTTTGTGAAAACTCAAATAAAATTTACAAAAAAAAATATACATCATGGGCCTGCCCAATATCATGCAGTGGCTGTGAATCCTATATTAGAATGATAAAGTCTCACAAGAATTCTGTGCGTATTTATTTGGAATGCAAATTCTACTGATTTACTCTTAAGTAGCTTAGCTGTCCCCCCAATAAAATGAAACTCCTTGGCTGAAATTTTTAGAAGATAAATTGGCAACCAGGAAATCCTTGTAAACTAGATTAGGGTAGTAAAAAAAAAATACAGGTAGTCCTCAACTTACAACCACAATTGAGCCCAAAATTTCTGTTGTTAATGAGACAGTTATTAAGTGAATCACTGCAGTTGTTAAGTTAGTAACACTGCTGTTAAGTCAATCTGGCTTCCCCACTGACTTTGCTTATCAGAAGGCCATGAAAGGTGATCCCAGGAACCCAGGATGCTGCAACCATCATAAATATGAGTCAGTCGCCAAGGGTCTGAATTTTGCTCATGTGACTGTAGGGATGCTGCAATGGTCATGGGTTTGAAAAATGGTTGCTTTTTTCAGGGCCATTGTAACTTCGAACTGTCATTAAACAAACTGTTGTAAGTTGAGGATTACCTGTACATTCTAAAAAAATGAACTAGCAAACCACTTGTACAGTCCTTCCAGAAAAGGGTGTCTACTGTTTAAAACTCAATCTGTATGTCTGTCATAGTATATCTAATTTCTCCTCAATTATATCATATTTCTCTATCATCTCTCTCTGTCATATATCTGTCCATCCAACCATGCACCATCCATCCACCCCCAACAGTAAGGATGGAACTCATGTCTGAATGCAACTACCGATCTCCTTTCGATGTTGCTTTTCTGTTAAGGAATTAGCCCCTGACTTCTGTGTGAATACAACCTCGACTAGACATAAGATGATTGAAATGGGAGACACCTGCCTTTTTTTTTCCTAGCAAAGGCCACATCTCCTTGAAGTAATCTATTGAGAGCTAAAGGTTTGGTGCTAAGAGCTGCACAAAATCAGCAAGGGCTGCATTTGACCAGAGGGCTGCAGGTTGCCCATCCCAGCAGGTGAAGAAAAAAAGAAAGACTCTCCTCTAATGTTGTTTTGGGAAGAAAAAACAATAAAAATTATTTTTTTCCCCTCCCCAAAGCAGCATTAGAGGAGTATCTTCCTCCCCCTTAAACCCCTGAGCTCATATTGAACCAGGGTGCCTGTCTATCACAAAACATTTTAGAAAGGGCCATGTCCGCTAACCATGTAGGCCGATTGACAGCAACCATATTACCTATTGACTCTGACGCCGTATTGGCTCTCATCTATAGCCATAGCTTTAGTCATCGCAACCACAGCACCCTGAAAATTGAAAACATTGAAAAGTTATAAAAGGAATCAGCAACTTGACTAAGCTACAACTTCTCTCCTGCCTATCAGGCCGATCTTTCACGTCATTAGCTTCCATCTGCAATACAAGTGCCACCAAAACAGGATTTGATGGAAAAGCTGATAATCTCTCTCTCCCTCCTTTCACTATTACTGACCTTCAAATAGTCTTAGGACACCCTGATCCTGACTTGCTGATAAGCTGAAAGTAAGAGTCATTCGGTTAATTAAGTGGCTCTAGTCCTTAAAATGAATTTGTGGTAGGCAATCTAACCTTTCTGGAATTGGAAGATTGTTTGTTTTTTAATCTTGCCTTTAGGGTAAAGAAGCTCCCCTATACCACAACATGGAAAGCTGTTCTGGCTGTTTAAACAAAATTACCAAAATCAGAGAAATAAATCTAACTGGTGCCTACAACTCTCAGGAGAAGCTTGATACAGAGAAATGAGCAAAAAAATATTTTCACCGGCTGAGATTTTATGACTTGAGAATTCTAGAGGAGAAAATGGATCTAATAAGACTGGAACATTTTGATCTGGATTACCTTGGTTGCCACATATGGTACAGCTAACTTTTGCCCAAAGTGAGCAACGATGCTCGCAACATTAATGATGTTTCCTTTCGTTTTCCGGAGGTAGGGCAGCGCAAACTGTTGACAGCAAAATGAAGAGAAATAAAGAATTACAATAAGAAAGCATACCAGCGCTGAACATTTATTTAGCATTGATTCAACTGAAATCTTTTTAATTTTAGGCACGATATGGTAATTGTGTTTAACCATTCCTTAAGTAATCGCAAAGGCTAGGAGACACAAGGAAAGGGAATAGAGAGGACAAAGAGGGCTGGGTGGTGGTGGATGGCTCAGTGAAATAGATGGATGGAAAAAGTTCTTGCTTGAGGTTGAGTAGCAAATGCCATTTTTCTCCCACCTACTTACCCCCAACCCCCCAAGTCAAGTAGGACATCCTCCAAAGTCATTCAATTTCTTTTGGCACCTAGGAAATCCATATCCTTACTCTGATGATAAAAGTGTGATAATAACAAAAACAGCAACTAACAATTTTCTTCTCAGTTATGATGCTCAAGTTCTTCTTCACAAGGCAGTTCTTCTCTCTGCCTTACGATAGAGACGGCACTTGGTGGAAATATAAATAATGTTTTGTCCTGGTCATACTCTCTTCTTCCTTAATTTTAGTATCTTCAAAACAGGCAAATAACATTGACCGCATCCATTCCAGAAGTTGTTATTAAGGTCCATGAGGTCCATGAGAGAGCTACAGTGCCAATAAGGATACAGAGCTCAGTGATTGTCAATGATTCACCAAAACTGTTCTCAATTCCCTTTTTTCCCCTTAGAGCCCAAGGTTTTCCAAATGCATTGAGAGTACAATTCCCAGAATCCCAAGCCACAAGGGTGCTTCCAATCATTGTAACGCCAATACCATTGAAGAGTATAAAGAAGGATGCTTTAACACAGGGGTCCCCAAACACCGGGCCGCGGACCGGTACCAGTCCGTGGAACATTTCCTACCGGGCCGCCGGTTTGCTGGGCGCCGCCATCTTGTTTGACGAGAAAGTGCTTCCAGGTGAGCTTTTCTGGTTGGAAAGCAGCATTTGGGTCCTGAAGGAATCCTCGTGCCTTAGTTTCATCGAAGGGGGGGGCTTCGAATGAAACTAAGGCACGAGGATTCTTTCAGCACCCAAGGCAAGGCGAGCCGAGCGACTGTCCCGAAGCCATCCCAAAGCGAAGCCCATCAACAAAGGTACACAGGAGGAGTTGAAGGTGGCGGGGAGAAGCGGGGGACGGCTGGCTGGCCGATCGCTCGGCTCACCTTGCCTTATCATGCGTGCTGATGCCAGTACCAGGCTGTGGATCATTTTGTGATGCCGGTACTGGGCCGTGGCACAAAAAAGGTTGGGGGCCACTGCTTTAACAAAATAAGGTAGAGATGAAACCTGGGCTCTTTGCAAAAAAAGGATACTTTATCATGGATCTGGAGCAACTCCACACAAAGCTGTTTCCAGAAAAGCTGCTGAACATGATCCTGAAATATTTCATTCTCCCTCTCCACTCATCAAGGGAGACATCTTGGAGGAATTGTGGGTTTTACATGCAAAGTGAAGACAGATTTGATCTCTAGGTAGGACAGCAGGATCCCGTAGCCATGGAGATGCAGATACTGATCAGAACCAATCCCCAAAGCCTTTGGGGGAAGGGTGACTCTCCAGAAGATACGAAATTGAGATTTTCAATGAGGCATTTGGGTAAAATGTAAATGCATGATTGGAGAGCAGCCTATACTGAAATCTCATTTAATGGACTAATTGGGTGGGCTGGGTGTCTGCTGTTAAGGAAACCCTACTGAATTGGAAAATATGGCATTATGAGGCTGGATGGCATTTATTTTTTCCACTTGCATAATAATGTAATGATACAAATAAATGTCACCTGTGTACTGTCATGATGTCATTATGCAAATGAACAAACAAGAGAAGTAATGACTTTGTCTATGTAAAGATGTAAATTGCAACAGTAATGCAAGTGGTACATGCAAAGCCAGTTACACTGAGGTCTGATTTTTTTAAAAAACGGTTCTTTGCATGTAATCTTTTTTACATTGGAACTTCAATGAAATCATGTTTAGGGCCTGTCCCCTCCTACCATATCTGCCTTGGAACGTGGCTCCTGGTGTGCTATCTAAAGTCTGCTTTGCTTTTTAATCCAGAAATTGAAACCTAGGAGTAAATTATTCACCCCCAAGTATGTGCCATTTAAACCAGCAGTTCTTTGAGTATGTACTTGAGTAATGGAGAAATCTGTGAGTCAAGGATCCAGACTAAGACTACCACTGCTGAGATGTTCGTATAAAACAACAGTTTGTGTGTATGTGGGTGTTGGGTGGATGGATGGGGTAATGACATTTTGTGAGACCAGAAAAAGGTGTACCTGAGTCAAGCAGTTTAAGAACCACTAGTCTACATATTGACTCCTTAATCTTCATCTTACGTAGCCAGCAGTGATCAAGATAATTTTAAAATTAGGTTGTAATCTAATCCCTCTGGATGGATTCAGGTTTGGAAAGACTATCACGTAGTTCCATAAGTGAGTAGATCACTCTGGGACTGAGTTGAATTGAATCTATAATTTGGAGTCAGCAATCACTGCCAAGGCCCCTCCATCTTGGTGAAGTAGGAGTAAGCTAAGAGCCTCCCCAAGTAATTATAGCTGGGAAGCAGTAGATAGCACAATATGAAAAACTCAGGGTCCTAAGAAGCTTGGCCCCTTTAGATAACAGATTATCTGAGTTGGAAGGGATCTCATAGGTCAACTAGTCCAGTCCACAGCCCAAGCAGGAGACCCTACACCTTTTCTGACAGATGGCAGTCCAGTCTCTTTTTCAAAGCCTCCAGTGATGAAGCTCCCACAACTTCCGAGGGCAAGCTGTTCCATTGGTTGATTGTTCTATCAGAAAGTTTTTCCTTATTTCTAGATTGAATCTCTCCTTGTTCAGTTTCCATCCATTATTCCTTGTCTGGCCTTCGGGTGCTTTGGAAAATAGCTTGACCCCTTCCTCTCTGTGGCAGCCCCTCAAATATTGGGATACTGCTATCATGTCTCCCCTGGTCCTTCTTTTCACTAGACTAGCCATACGTGAGCACATCCATACAGGTAGTCCTCAACTTATAACAATTCATTTAGTGAGCATTCAAAGTTACAACGGCACTGAGAAAAGTAACTTATGACCACTTTTCACAGCATCACCGTGATTACGTGATCAAAATTCAGACGTTTGACAACTGAGTCAAATTTATGACAGTTGCAGAGTCCCTGGGTCATGTGATTCCCTTTTGCACCCTTCTGACAAGCAAAGTCAATGAAGAAGCTGGATTCTCCTAACAGTTGTGTACTAAATAACTGCAGTGATTCACTTAACAACTTGGCAAGAAAAGTTGTAAAAGGGGGCAAAATTCTTACTTAACAATTGTCTCATTCAGGAACAGAAAATTTTGGACTCGGTTGTGGTCATAAGTTAAGGACTAACTGTACTGTGTCTGTATAACCATACGGCCCTAAGGAAAGAGCAGGTCATGAAAGCAAGTAGGTTGTTCTTGCCACTTTGACTTGCCCATTCACTCGCTATGGAGAAATATAGATAGAAAGAAGGTTCCATCAAGGATTCTATATCGCTCTCCCTTCAAAACACCGCACCAATTCTACAACTGCAGGGTAAGAAATGAAATGTAGACAATACCAGTGTCGTAAAAAGTTACCTTCTACGCATATGTTGTGCTATTTGTACATATAGAAGAATATATATAATTCATACATATATGTAGGTCTAGGTGTGTTCGGGTCTTTTCCCGTGTAAGATTAAGAGTATCTCGGCGAGGTCCCACTCGCCATCCTCAGGCTGGTGCTTTCAGCTTCGTGCCAGTGCAAGCAGTGTGTGATCAGAGCTGCCCTCTCTCTATATATACTGGGGCGGGGGGGAGCTGGTGTACTGGGCTGGTTGGCTGCGCTGCTGCCTCTTGATTGGTTGATGGAGTTGATATTGTTATAATGGGCTGTGTGATGGCTTGTGAGTTTTGTTGTGGAGATATCCTGGATCTTGTGCTGTAATCTCCTGGGTCGTTTGTTTTGTAGTGATCTTTTTTTCCATTAGCCTCTCGTGTTTTAACGGCTTGGGTAATGGGTTGTGTGTTGGGCTTGTGAGTTCTTTTGTTGTGGTATCCTGGGTCCTGTGTTGTAATCTCCTGGGTTGTTTGTGTTTTGATCTCTTTTCCATTAGCCAAGATACTCTTAATCTTACACGGGAAAAGACCCAAACACACCTAGACCTACATATCTGTACCCATGAAAATCTACGAAAACAAATTCATACATACATACATACATACACACACACACACACACACACACACAAATACAGAAGCCTGATGATGGCAGAACTACAATGACGTGGGAAAATACCCGAACAAAGCTGAATGCCATACATGTAAGTACCCGCGAAAACTATATATATAATATTCATATATATCTCTGAAAGACTACCTTGGCCATTAAAAAACAGCTGACAATGTTGAGGTCCATGAGATTGCGGAATTCTTGGGCAGACACATCATCGATTCTTTGATCGGGGGGATCTGTTTGGCAGAGAAAGAGAGAAAGGATATTGCATAAATCTATATAGATTGCCTTCTTACTCAGTGGGTGGATGTATTTTGCTTTTCTAGCACTGTAAAAGTCCTTATTCCAAATTAATCCTGAGAACCATACATCACATAGATCAGTTTGTGCACCAAATAAAAGTCATGCTTAATCTTTGCCAGTATTATCTTTGCTGGTTCTCTTTCTTGTTTCTCCAAGGTGATGACTGGGGAGAACCAATTCAATTGGTTCAACTGGTTAATTACATTCTCTGTCTATCCAATTATCACACTGGGTTGCTATGGAGATAAAATTGGAGAGCCTTTCACAGGGTGATGGAAGTTGTAACCTAACACATGGGGGAATGTCAGGTTGAGGAAAGTGATCTATCCCACTCATAAAAATCAACAGATGCCTTTATAGAAATCTACAGGGAGTCAATGTGATAAAAGCAACTCAAACAAGTTAGAAAAAAATGGGGAAAAATGTTAAAATAAATAAGAATGCGGGTGGAGGTTCATTCTCCAAGCTTGTGGGTTTGTTTCTGAACATTTTGTTACCAAGCTAAGTAACATCTTCAGCAGTTTATTTAGGGGATGTCAGTATTATTCTGTTTATAAGGGCTTGTTGTGGTCTGTAGGTCTTGTGATGGGGAAGTCACATCAGGTGAGTCTTGTGATGGACCTTGTGACCTCTTCATCAACCCTAACCCTACAGACCACAAGAACAGAGGAACACTGACACTGATATCCCCCAAACTCCCCTGAAGATGTTATCTAGCCTGGTAACATAATATTTGGAATCCAGCACACAAGTTCGGAGAACAAACCTCCACCCTCATCCTCCATCCATTTTTTGCCACCATTGTATAAATAAGAATATTGTCAGGATTAGTAGGGACAACATTTTAAATGGTTAGCAAGACAGGCCCAATCATTTTGGAAATGACTCACGCCCGCCAGCATTGTTCACCAGGCAATCTAGTTGTCCATGCTGTTCTATGGTCATCGACACCAACCTCTGTAGAGAAGGCACAGGGTAAAAAGAGAAAGATTTCAGGAATGTTGGGAGCCGTGGTGGCGCGGTGGCGCGGTGGTTAGAATGCAGTATTGCAGGCTAACTCTGCCCACTGCCAGCAGTTTGTTCCTCAGTGGCTCAAGGTTGACTCAGCCTTCCCTCCTTCTGAGGTTGGTAAAATGAGGGCCAAGATTGTTGGGGGCAATAGGCTGACTCTGTAAACTGCTTAGAGAGGACTGTAAAGCACTGTGAAGCAGTATATAAGTCTTATTGCTATGTGGAAGAAAATCAAGATGAGAATCAAATTATATGACTCCTTACGAGTTGCAACCTTCTTAAACAGCCAAGTCTAAACATAAACTTTTATCAATATGAGAAATGTGGACAGTTGGCAACAATTGCAGGAGTAATAGAGGTAGATTTAAGGCAATTTTCCAGGATGTGACCAGTGAAGCTGTGGTACAGCCATTTTTTTAACTTTACTGACACCAGTTACCACTTGTTCTGCACATGTACCCAAAAATCAGGATAGTGTTGACACATATGATCCTTGGAGCTAGCTTTATGCTAGGTTTCCACAATGCACAAAATCATAACTTTCTTTTAACTACCATTTGTTGAACAAGCAAGACAAGTCATGTTGGCTCAGAATACAAAGCCAGAAGCTACAATTTACAAACCCAATGGGCTGAGTTTGCATTTCATACGAAATAAAAACCAAATCTGTCACATGAAGATAGAGTGCAATGCATGAATCCAGTGTTTGTCTTACAGCTACTTTCAACTCAGCGTTATATCTGAAACAAAGAATATGGTGAAGAGTTTTGGTCAGGGTTTCCCAACCTTGACAACTTTAAGATGCCTGGACTTTATTTCCCAGAATTCCCCAATCAATCATGCTGGCTGGGGAATTCTGGGAGTTGAACTCCACACTTCTTTAAAGTTGCCAAGGTTGGGAAATCTTGGATTTGCTGCAACTGGCATTGGACTTCAGTGTGAGAAGTTACATTGCAGAAGTGATAGAGAAAATGCAGAATTTCAAGAAAACCAAAAGAAATAAGCTCCAGATCTATGAAAGAAACCATCTGGAAGAGAAGTCCAGCCTACCTTCATGTCTGCTTCACAGAGGACATCACAGACCACAAAGCAACCTTCTCCAGATCCACCACCTTCTGCAAGTTTCCTCTCAAGACATTTTCCTTTTTCTTCTGCAAAGAGATGCAAAGTGGGTTTAAGGCTGCCATTGGGAAATAGAAGGGAAGGATAACCATTTTATCCCAAATTATTTATACTTGGAGTCTTTAGCTGCCTCTAGTTCCAGCCGTGGTCCAAATAAAATTAACAGATGTACCACTCACACCTGAGAAATTGATTTCCACTAACCCTTGGAAAAGTTTTCATAGCAAGAATTGAAAACATGTGGCCCATAGCTTCTATTATTTTTTAAAAAAAATCTGGTTTTAGAATACAGTAGGAACATATCTACCGTAGCTGTCTGTAGTCAATTGGAGTTGGTAGTTGCAACAAATAATAATAATTAAACAAAAAGAATGGGAGCTGCTAGTGTTTCCATCTTGCCTCAAGATCTACTCATGAGTAGCATTCTCAAACACAACCCATTGTGATAAGGTTTGCCCATTTTAATGCCAATTTACTATTTAGTTTATACCATTGATGAAACATTTTGCCAGACTGGTAAGTATAATTGTTGTTATGTGTTTTAATCCAGGGAAATCCACTTACAGAGTTCTTACCATTAAAACTAGCCCAGCATTATGGAGTTGAAAAGGCTATTTAAACTGCCAAAGCAAATTGTCTACTGTACTTAATGAAGGAAGTAATCTAAATTACAGAAAAAAGAAAAGGAAGGCTGAGAGCTAATTCATTCAGTTAGTGCTAAATTTGGATCCTCCCTCCCTTTCTTTCTTTCTTTCTTTCTTTCTTTCTTTCTTTCTTTCTTTCTTTCTTTCTTTCTTTCTTTCTTGTCAGATAGATAAGCTTATTTTATTAATCATTACATTAGGTAAATTCAGAAACACTTTGATCAATTTAAAAAAACACCTTTTTACAACCCTATAATCCCTTAATTTGGGGTAGATTCAGGACGACTGGATGGAGCCAATTTTACTGGACGGATACTCTTCCTGACACCACACAGAGTTCACAGCAGGTATTTTTTCTTTGCGCCTTGAGAGAGAAACATCTGCCATTAACTAGAAGTTGACTTTTAACCACTAGGCTACCACACCACAGTTTGATTCAAAATATAATAGGTAGTCAGAACCCAAGCCGAAGTTAGCTTAGCGAGCCTTAGATGATAGGTCTGTAAATACAGCATCGGGCAGGTTTAAACTGCTGCTCAATTATACAGTTCATTGTTATACATTTTGCTGCTCCTTAGGAAAAATCACACATCCCATTTTCCTACATGAAAATCATCTACCCAGGAAAATATTAAATTGCCTTTGTAGCATATAGGCATTCTAGTGATTTAGTGGGCATCTTATTTTTCTGGCCAGAAAAATATTGGTTTTTCTCATTGCTTCCGTTTTCTGCAAAGATAGATTGCTGAATTCTAGCAAAGCTCCAAGAAGTAGATACTTGCCTTCTTTCATCTGAAAATCAGAATATGTCTTATAGCACCATGTGAGGTTGATGGATTTTATTAAAAGACATGGGTTACTATGAACTACAGGTTGCTTCATCCGCAGTGCATGGAGTTCATCATTTCTTCACCTGCATTTTTTTTTCCTTAAAGAGTTTGCAATTTTGTGTTGTCCAAATCTGGTATTTCCTTTTAGTTTGTCAACCTGATTAGCTAAATTAGGATCAGGATTATAAATCATCAGATATAAAGCAAGGGCAACAATAGAGCTTTCTAGGTCTCACCTTCTGATGCTGGTGCACAGAAGACCACTTTGGCTCCATGATAAACTGGAAAGGGAAAAAAGAAACAAGTGGGATATTTCAAAACAAACCCCTGTGACTTTGTCACCACATCATTTGATGAAGAATACAGAAATATGATATAGTCCTTCACCTACAACCATTCATTTAGTGACCATTTGAAGTAACATAAGCACTGAAAAAAGTGACTGATGTCTGGTCCTCACACATATGGCCATCACAGCACTTCCATGGTCATGTAATCAAAATTTGGGTGTTTGGCAACCGGCATGTATTCATGATTGTTTGCAACATCTTGGGAATTACATGATCACCATTTGCAACCTCACCACTAACTTCCAACAAGCAAAGTCAATAAGAGAAGATGGATTTTCTTGACAACTTTGTTGTCCAAAAGATAGAGGGTGAAACTAGAGGGACAGCCATACTGGACTTAATTCTTACAAACAGAGAAGAAGTGATAGAGGGAGTTGAAACTGCAGGAACCTTGGGTGAGAGTGACCATGTCATACTAGAATTCAACATAACACAAACACAAGCAACAGAACATAATGACACCAGAGTCTTGGGTTTTAAAAGAGCTGATTTCAATAAACTCAGAGAGAACTTGGGAAAGATTCTAAATCCTGAAAATCCTAAAGGGGAAAACAACTCAAAAATCTTGGCAAACTCTAAAAAGTATGACCATAGAAGCCCAGACCAGCACAATACCACTGAGAAAGAAAAACAAGAAATCCAAGAAGAAACCAGCATGGCTGCACAATGATCTCTCTGACAAATTGAAAGAAAAAAAAGGACAAGTACAAAAATGGAAAGAAGGACGTACAACTGAGGCAGAATATCAGCAGATAGCCAGAATCTGCAAAGACAAAGTTAGGATAGCAAAGGCTCAGAATGAACAAAGACTTGCAACAAAAGTCAGAGATAATAAAAAAAGTTTCTTCCAACATATAAATAACAAGAAAAAATCAAGGAAACAGTCAGTCCACAAAAAAGAGAAGACGGCAAGGAGAAAGCAGAACTGCTTAACTCATTCTTTGCATCCGTCTTCACGCAAAAAGAAACTATAGCTCAACCCACCAAAAACATAACTGTAAAAGATAGACCAGAAATAAAAGTTAAAATAAGCAAAAAAATAGTAAGAGAACACCTGTCTGATCTTGATGAAAACAAATCACCGGGGCCTGATGGATTACATCCCAGAGTTTTAAAGGAGCCGGCAGAGGTCATCTCAGAACCACTGCACCATATCTTTCAAAAATCCTGGAGCATTGGGGGAGGTGGAGCTGGTGTTGCGACGATACGGCATGCGATCTCGGAGGTCTGAGATCGCTGCCGATATCTTTGCTCCTGGACGGTCCAAATGGATCTAAACTGTCCCAAAGAGGTGGTGAATGTAAAGAGCGCATCCTGTCGATCCCAGGGAAACTGCAAAGTCCCTGGTAGATCCAGGACAAGCTTTTTTTGCCAGCGGCAAAGAGGCAGCCATTAAAGCTGCTGAAGTTGGGACAGCTCCGAAACGGAAGAGAACGGAAAGAGAGTGTGTGCCGGTCTGGTGAGAATTTTTTCTTTATTTTAAGAGTTGAAAGGACACCCTAAGGAAAAGAAAGAATCTGTAAAAGTTTTGACAGAAGTGATTAAGCAGCAATTTTAAACAGGTAGTCAAAGTAATATTTTTTTTATTTTTTTTCTCATTGCTGGATTTTTTACACATGATTTTAGATTTTGAAACTGGACTGCCTTTTTTTTTCTCTTCTTCCACCTATTCTTTCTTTCCTTTTTGACTTTATAATATTTTAGACTAGAGACTCCCTTCTAGTCATCTTTTTAAATATCTTTTTCCCTTTTTAATTAATTTTTATTATATCTTGTTTGGAAAAGGAGGGGGGAAGTGAAAGCAGAAGAAACTTTGTAACACTGCCAACTAGAAGCTTGGAAATATTCTCTTTTTTTTCTTGACCAGACAAAGCTGAGAAAGAACTGAGACTTCATGGGAGAGTGTTATTGCAGGTGCTCTTCTGGGTTTCTATCAATAGCTGGAATCTGGTGTTGAAGTTTATAGAAAAAAAGGTGATAAGACTCTGGAGAAGAGAGTTATAAATTTTAACAAAAGCCTTAGATAACCAAACAAGGTGCAGTGTGCTCTTTTTACTTTTTTTAAGCTGGGCTATTTCTTACTTTAACAAGTAAACTACCCTCCTTAGTAGCTTACTTTTTGTAATAGCTATTTGGATTTTTGGCCTTTTGGAACTTGTTTTTGTCTTTCTTTTCGTTTTTGAAGTCTAATTTTTACATTTGCATTTTATTTTAAAGGAAAAGCTTTAGTATTAATGATTTCCTTCCTTTTTCTTTTTTTTTAAGGGAGTAGTCTCTTTTCTTTTTTCTCTCTCCCTCCCTTGTATATTTTGTTTTCTATTTACCTTCCATATTTTTTTGTGGATTTCTTTTTTTTGTTATGCATCCTTTTATACCTGAGACTTTTTAATTGGATTAAGGTGTTGAAGAACCTGAAGAACTTTTCTTTTCTTTAGTTTTTTATTTTTTATTTTTCTGCCTGTTCCAACAATTTTTTCTTTTTTGTGTGTTTATGGTCTTTTCTTCCATTTTTGAGTTTTTACTGATACCTAACCAATCGATTGGATTAAGGTATACAAGAACCTGAAGAATATTATTATTATTATTATTATTATTATTATTATTATTATTATTATTATTATTATTATTATTATTATTATTATTATTATTATTATGCTTCTTTTCCCTCCACTATTTTTACTTGGAATTACAATTGGTTATTTCACAAATGGATTAAGGTCTAGAAGAACCTGAAGATTTTGAATTGTCTGAAATGAGTAGGAAACTAACAGCCCCTGGTTCCTCAACTTCTACTTCTTCCTCTTCACCATCTGGAGGACAATGCTCAATACAGACAATGTTACAGCAAGAAAAAGAACAGGAAAAAGTGACGCTGCAGATGATTATGCAAGGAATTCAAAATATACAAATAAGAACAGAGAATATTGAAAAGAGAACAGAGAACATTGAACAAAGAACAGGAAAAACTGAAGAAAAGGTGGAGAACATTCAACAAATGATGATGAAGTATGATGAGAGATTCCAAAAAATTGAAGAAGATAAACAAAGAGATAAGAAGATTGGAGATATTGATAGCAGATTAACTGTGGTTGAACAAGATTAAAGTGGGATGTTGAAATGGGAGATGGACAGATCAGAATTTTATCTCAGATTCCAAAGCATAGAGGAAGAAAAGGGACAAAACCTGGCTGAGATAATGATAGAAATTTTGGCTGAAGCTCTGGAAATAACTAAAGAGAAGATGATGGATGGAATAGATGAGGTTTATTGAGTCTTCACAAGACATGCAATGAGAAATAGCTTACCAAGAGAAGTACACATCAGATTTACAAAGAAAGCCATTAAAACACAAATATTGCAAGTGGCAAGAGAGAAAACATTGAAATATAAAGACAAGGAGATTGTGCTCTTGAAACAAGTACCCAGAAGAGTGAGAGAGATGAGAAGAGAATACTGATTTCTGACTAAAATTCTACTTAAAAAGAGGTGAATTATAGATGGTTGATTCCAGAAGGTTTAATGTTCACATGGCAAGAACAGAGATATAGAATTGACTCAATTGAGAAAGCTGAATTATTTTATACAGAATATTTTGGAGGGAAAGAGGAGGAGGCAGAAAAAGAAATGTCACTAATTGAATTCCAAGTGGACTGCCAAATGGCGACTGAAAAAGAAAAAGGTGCAGTAGGCGGAAAGGTGGAAGTCAAAGAACAACATAAACCAAGATCTACAAGAGCTGCTAAACCTAACTACAAAATATAACCATGGAAGAGAAAAAACTGATTACAATTAACATAAATGGACTTAACCCAACTGTTAAAAGAAGGAAAACTTTTCATAAATTAGAAAAATTAAAATTTGATATAATCTGCCTACAAGAAGTACATATTAAAAAGCAACATGAACAACTGCTGATACAGCCAAAATTAGGGAAAATATTTACTTCTTTGACACAATGCAAGAAAAGAGGAGTGGTTTTATACATTAAAGATATTATCCCAGCGAAATTGATCTATACCGATGATGATGGAAGGTTACTAATGGTGGAAATAATGGACAATAATATGAAAACACTCCTGATTGCAATCTATGCCCCGAATGACAATCAAGAAGAATTTTATAGAAAATTACATATGAAAATAATTGAACTGGACTATGCTAATATAGTTATGATGGGAGACTTCAATAGAATTGTAGATAATAAATTGGACTATACAGCACAGAAAACAACAAAGCAAAACAGAAAGACTCTCCCTAAATCCTTTTTTAAAATAATAGATGAAATAAATTTAAAGATACATGGAGAGAAAGAAATGCTAAGACTAAACAATACACCTTCTAAACAAACATTTATCATGGTCCAGAATAGATATGATATGGATGTCAACAGAATTGTTAGGTAATATTCCAGAAATAAATATTGAAACAAGTACTTGGGCAGATCACAATCCAATGACAATTAAATGGAAAGGACAAAGAAGAAGATCTAGATGGACGTTAAATAATACTATATTAAAGGAAAAAGACTTCATACAGTGGATGGAGAAAGAACTGCCTTTCTTCTTTAGAGAAAACAAAAAAGAAGATACATCAATGCAGAATGTATGGGATACAATGAAGGCATATGCCAGAAGCTTGATAATAGACTATACAAGGAAAAGAAATACCATGAAAAGACTAGCCTCTAAGGCATTAGAGGATGAGTATAAAGGACTTGAAAAAGAGCTACAGAAAATCCCACAGAAAAAGGACATTAAGTTAAAAATGGATATAATTAAACATAAAATGGGACTAATGGAAAAAGAAGAACTAGCACAGAAAATCAGAGGTGCGAAACAGAACTATTTTGAAGATGCAAATAAACCAGGTAGATGGTTAGCATACAAATTGAGAAAGGATAAAGAATCAAGGAAAATATTGCAATTAATAGA